TTGCATGTCTGGAGTTCTACTTAGTTTTCATGAAGAAAACAGAGGCTTTTTTTTTTTTTTTGTTAAAGGGGTAGAAACGGAGAGTTGAATAATTATCTGTGCTGGATCTATTAATTTGAGTGACTCATCTTCAAGAGTAACATTTGTTACATTTCTGTAAATTTAAATTCCGCAGTTTATAAATCAGATTTGCTGTTATCTGAAGATTAGTCCAGTATTCCGGCTAGCCGTAGAAACACATCCATTTTAATAGGACGACTAGAAGTGCTGAATTACTTTGGCCATATATGTGTGTTAACAAATGACTTGTTGAAGATTTTGTACTGTTGTCCAGTTTTATCTAGTCTTGATGATCTAGTTTACTCATTGACAATGGGTATGGGTCCAAATCTTTCTGAAGGTGGGTTGTATACCAACTTACCAAGTGCTAGTATTATGGTTTTTTTGCTTTCTCTCCCTTCGTAAATCACTTCCATAGAGACATGATTCATTGATTCTCATGAACATGAATCTGTTTTTCCTGTATCTCCTTCAGAGAGTTCATGATACTGACCTCTATTTGTAACTGGTTGAAGGAGCTATACTTGAATTATTTTGACTGTTCAGATGTTAGTCTTCTGAAACTGCTGCTTTTTTTGTTTAAGCTTAAAAGTAACTGCAGTCCACACAAGTTTGGTATATAAGGCGAAAATGTGATACCTGCAAGCTATTAAGATTTATGCTGCAGGATTTTAGTAAATCTCCATATATTTTGAGCAAGAAGCTGATTTCACATTGCTTCTTTACGTACGGAGTATTATGGGCTTATGGCTGAATGTTTGACATCTACACTTAAATATCCTTTTTTGTATTATAATTAATCTCCAAAGTTTCAACAGCTTTCGGCTTACCATTGTGGCGTACGAATGACTACTAAGACGTTTTATATTTCTAATATTACCCTAGTATTGGTGCTGAATCACAACTTGGGACCAATTTCTTAATCCAAGATACAATTATATAACTTGTGTATGGTTATTTTTGGGTAGATTAAAATGCATAAAAGTAGGTAGTAAAAGGTTTTAGGTGAAGTAGGTGCATTACTTGAAACAGAGTATTGTCAATTTGTGATTTTGATGGTCTCGTGAGCCTAATCAAAGATCACAAATTATCCCTTTGAGCTTTATCACGGTGCTTCGAATTCTACGGGCAAGCCGCCGGTGGTGAGTTGAGAAATCCAACATACCCTTGGGTTAATGGGTAATTCAGAGTAGTTGATATTCTATCTTAATTAGGATGTTTCTTTTTTATGATGATTATACGTCTTTTTCCTTCCCTTCATTTCCCTCTCCCTCTCTTTCCTTATCCCGACTTCTTATCCAAACGTAAACCTTGTCCCCATCCTTTCCCTTCCCTCTCTCCCTATTTTGACCTATCCTTTGTTTGGATAGCAATGAAGGAAACCAAGGGAATGTAAAGAGGAGGAAGGGGAAGAGAAGATGAGCTTCATTTTTCCAAGTCTTTAATTTGGCGGGATTATGCTTATTAAAGAGAGAGAAAATGGATTCCTTCCGTCTTGTAATCTATTTACTAATTCACACACTAACAATAATATAGATCTAAATTTTCATTCACAATATGAACCTGGATTAAATTTCAATGTAGCAGTGTAGTACATTTATTAAACTTGTCGTGGAACACTGCCAAATAAATGAGGGTTATAGGACAACTTGCATTGAATCATGTAAACACTGACATTTCCATTTTGCAGTTTACTAGATGACCAAATATTGCAGTATCTCAGGCTGTAACTTAACTTTCATACATTTATAAGAAATTCTTACCTTTTCTTTCTTTTGCTTTTCTATCAGAATATATCATATTCTCATTCACCCAAGACAAAATTTACGCTGTCTACATTTATTGTCACATTTTTTAGTTGTTTATAAAAAGTATTGAGTTGCAATATCTTCATTGGTTTTCAGAGCACAGAAAACTTGGGATAAGAGAGGGTAAGGGTTTAGTGGGGAATCACAAATCACAATCGATCCATGCGTATTGTTATATTCATTAAGATTTCTTGAATGAACATATGCTGAATTATCTTTAAAATATCTACTCATAAAAGTTATTTGCTCCATTCTTTAAAGATTGTCCCAATTCTCGCAAGTCATTTTATATTGAGTGAACCCTTTGATATGGACAATTAGTTAATCTTAAAGAGTGTTAGATATCAACCTCGTAAGCCTTCTCTATACATGTTTTTTTTTTTTTTTTTAAAAGAGTACTACCTTCATCTTAGATTAATTTCAACAAAATTTGACCTCCTAATTATCACGTGAGTTAAAATAAAAAAAATAAAAAAAAATTATAAATATGTAGTAAAAGTCTAAACCAAGACAAATTTAAAAGCATTGTACTATGTATATAGGTAAATATGAAAAATTAAATTGTTACATTTAATCTGAAACGGAGGGAATATAATTACGGAGTATTCTTCAAACTCCTTTGTCATTTTTACATTTATAAATCTATAATTATGGTGGTGCCCATGAAACATTCTCTGGGACTGAATTTGGATAAAAAGCTCTTATATTCCAAATGCACGTGAACATTTGTATTTATGAAGTGAAATGTTTCTTTCTAACCCCAGATTATCTGAATATATTGCAGTTCTTTGGTGAACTTTCTTTGGTAGCATAACTAGCTACACGACATATAAAACTACATGTGATAATTCCAAATTATTTAATTACATTCTGGATTTCCTTTTGAGCTTTATCGCAATGCTTTATTCTTATGATATCAAATAGCAATCTGTGAAAGTTCTTGATTAAAAACAGAATTAGGAGGTAGGTTGCCATTAGGAGATGTATCATAGATTGTAGATGGTCAAATTTGTCAATCTAATCCTAGGTACATGTTAATTTTAAAACGGAGCAATGGAGCAAGTATCTAAAAACGGAGAGAATATTTCACTTCTGTACGTATAATTTTTAGAGTTTTTGCGTATCTTACTTTGATTATTTTGGTGTATAGAGAGCCACAAGGGCGAGGGGTGAGAAACGATCCCAATATCTCTTGAAACCGGAAGAGAAGCTTTAACCACTTGAGCTATCCCTCACTCTCTCATCTTACTTTGATTATAATGCATCCACAAAGCAATTTTCTTTATATAAACAAAATTTATGTTCCTTAATTATAAACATGAAAATTATCAACACCGTGACAACGAAGTCTTATGTTAAATAATACAAAGTAAAGTAATAATCTTATTCTATCATTTTGATGTATATTTGAAGCAAGATTGAAACTATTCTATGGTGTTTGAACTTAATTTTCAAATTCAGTTTGAATAATTCAAAGCTATAAAAAATATGGAGTATGAACACGCATATTCGTAGTACATATATACTACCTAAGTTACATATTATTTGCAACGATTAGATATTTTTCCTCTCTACTTTATGTCAAATCGTTGCAAATAATATGTAACGGAAGTAGTACAATACATTATTATTGAAGCTTGCATGGCAATTTGATAAAAATACATTCGTTTTGCTTGAACTAAAAACTACCGTGGTTCAAATTAAGATTGACGTATAAAAACTTAACTAAACATCTTCCTACAAAACCAATAAACCTATGAATATGTTGTTCACATTGATCGACTCGAATTTAACACCATCACCTATTTGACACATGCAAACAAACTATACAAATATAATTTTGTTGAGGTGGTAATTATATACATTGAATAATTTTTTTTTTTTATTATACCTCGCCGTTTGTTTTCTCTCCGGGCACTTTTGTTAGTAATTTTCTGAATTATACAGTAGTTGCAGTAAAAAAAAAATAGATATCCTGACTTGATTTTACAGAAAAAATGTAAGTGTCTAATAGAAATAAGTGGAGTAAAAGACGTTACATGTTAACTCCGGTGTCCTGTCATTTCATGAGCTTCTTGAATGATTGATCTTATTTCTCTCATTTTTACTTTTTTTTTTTCTTTCTAAAATGAGTTCATCAATCTAATAATTACTGTATTTTTCCAATTATAAGGAGAGAAGAGAGAACTTTTCAAGATTCAACCTAGTACAGTCACATCTGTAAGACTGTAAAGCACTCTATAGACCCTGGAAAACGCAAAAATGAATGAATGAATGATTTATCAACTTTTCATGGAAATTTTCCTATGTAACATCAAAATCAATATTTTTGTGATTTTTTTCAAATGACATTTCCTTTTTTGACATACAAGTAATATTTGGTTTTCAATCTCAATTTCAATTCTATAATATTTCTGATAAATGAAATTAAATTTATGGTTAGACTGTTTGAGTATTGAAATAATTACATTGTCCAAATTTTGATATTCTTGAAAAAGTAAAATACATCCATATTTTGTTTTTTGAAGAATTATTACAAGTTTACAACCGGGGTTAAACTATTGCATGCGACCAACTTTTTTGATGAGCTAACCAATTGACTGAATTGGACTAAGTGTCCATATGACCATATCACATAACCTTTGTGGAAAACAGGAAATTGATTTCTATAAACTAAAATTTAACTGACACTCCTCTCTCTATATTACTTATTTGGTACCCCTATATGGCTATATTATACATATTTGAATCGAGTATAAACATAATATTAAGTACTCGTATTACTTTTAAAAAAATAAATACTCATACTATTTTAGACTTAATCATCGCTTAAATTGATCTAGTAGCATTAGTTTGACCTTCGTAAAATATTAGCCTCTACATTATTGGACTTGGGACAATAAGTAGTCCCAAATTAATTAAACAGAAGAGGGAATAGAATATTACTAAATTACTTCATAATTCTATGTTACTCTAGTGAACTACTCCACCTATAAATTGTTTATCAAATATAGCCGAGCTTACTAAATATTTCAGGTATGAATTCGTATACATACATGATAGTACATCCCAAATCCACAATGAAGGCTGATCACAATAATAACCAAAAGCTTTATAAATTATACTCCGTAATAGGATAATAGTTATAATGTTATCCTCTTAATTACATACATATATACCAAACTTTTATAGGTTTATACTTTTATGGTAACAAAAAATAAGACAGATAAAGCTAGTGAATAAATTAAGTTACAATTAGTAATAAGTAATTAAGGATTGAAGACAGAGCTGCCACATTTGCATTTCCAAGTGATAGGTTTATACTCAATATTGGAAACCGAAATCGAAATGGTAGTTGGCACTTGAACTGCTTCACAATGCCCGCACGATTTACACCTTCCTTCACATCTTGGTGGCCTTGATCCTATCTCTCGCCCTCGTAACGCTGCCGCCACCTCCGCCGCCGCTTCTTTTGATCTCTATTAGTTTGTACAACATTGAAATTAACATCCAAACTAGACAAAACTTTGAAATGAAGAATAATTGAACGAAGCTTGAAAGTACTGCATGTGTTACATATTAGTTGCAACTAATAACTAATATGTAACGGAGGTAATATAATTCTTACCTTGGAAAGACTAGAGATTGAGTTGTTGTTGTCATTTGTTGCCGTAAGAAGCTTTCTACCTGTACAAAAGAAAGACATTATTAGTCACGTTGATAATTTAACTTGAACTAGTAATGTGACAATTATTCAAACGGGGTATGTACCTTCAATAGTCGTCGAGAAAATTATTGACAATGTGAGAAATACAAGAACGATCAAACGGCCAACCATTCCTTAACAGAGGAAGAAAGAAAAAAAAAGGTGGTAGAAATGAACGCTTGAAGAAGGGTAAAATTAAGAACAAATTTAAAGCAATTTTGGAAAGTGGAAAAAAGAGGTATATTTATAGGAACAAGTAAACATGTGAAATGTTGTTAATCAGTGCCAAAATTTGGGGGAGGAGAGAGAAAGAAGAAGAAAAAATTATGAAAGTCTGAAAAATGGTAGCGTAAGAAGAAGAGGATATAAGTAGAAACAAGTAATGTAAAATTGATCAAAAATAGGAATAGTACTGTGTACTGTTTACTGTGCACAACTGATGCTAAAAACGACTACACAAAATAAAGATTTATTCTCAACTGCTAAAATCCATCTTACCAAAAGTTGGGAGAGATACTACACATCACACAAGGTTTTTGCTGCTAATTTTCTTACATCATACTCACTGCTTTTGCTAATGGTTTAATTATGGGACTGTAAATTTGTAAAATACTGCTGTACTTGTAATTTAATCACCTAAATAGGCAAGATTATTTTCCGATAAGAGGAGTAAGATTGGAAATTGGAATTTGTTCAAACAATTGATACTAGAGAAACAAAAAAAAAAAAAAAAAAATACTTGTAAAATTTATTTCTTCCTGTTTGGGCCAAGTCCATTGTCCAAAGCCCATTGACTTGGAACTACAAAAATACCCCTTCATGATCCAGCCCATCATTAGTCAGAGTAAAGTACAAATTTATACTTAATCTGTCCAATTAAGTACAACTCATGCCACCTTAAAGTACATCTATAAATAGCTCTCTAATCAATAATGATGGTAACTTTTTCCTAATTCTCTAACCTTATCTCCTTACTTTCTCTCTCTAAAGTACTCTTTATCTCTCTACTTTCTCTCTCTAGAAAGTACATTCGCTGACTTAAGAATCGGAGGGGCTTTCCCGGGTCACACCCCCAGGGCAGTTAACCTTCTCTTTCTTTTGCAGGCCTAGCTCTCGGACAGCAAGGCATAGCTGAGGGGAATTCGGACATACTCATTGGACCTAGCTCTAGGACATCTTGAGTTTATCACCTGAACACCGAGGGGTATTCTGTTTCCAGAAACACTTCCTTTTACTCCAAACATATACTTAACGTATGGTATATCATTTTAAAACTAAAGATTCATAAGATTTTGAGTTATTGTAATCGTCAGCCCTATAAACCTTATTAATTACGAAGTATAATTTAGTCTTGTGCAATGGAGGTCTCATTTTAATACAGTATATACTTTATTCATAAATATGTCTATATATATGTTGAGTATTCCTCACTTTCAACCAATTTCAACACTACACCCCTAATAAAGTCGTTGAAAGCCTCCCAAAATATGTGATATACAAAGTATTAAGGCCTATTCTCATTTATTGAAATGTGCTGAACTGAACTTAACTTAACTGAATTGTTTATGAGAAAATGAAATTAGAAACTGAACTGAGTTGAAATTAAGTTGGGGAGAACAGACCATTACTTATATTTTTTTCCCAAGTGAAGGAGTATCCATCATTCGGCCAGAAATGAAAAGTAGAGCAAGTATATAAAAACGGCAGGAGTACATATATAATAAGTGAATGGTACATTTGAATAATTGATTTTGCATCAAATATCATTGCATCAAGTAAGCATATAGTGGGAGAAGGAGACTTGACTCAGTTGGCCAAGTCTCTCAATTTTCAAGTGAGAGACTTGAGTTCGATTCTCATCAAACTCACCTCGAGAGAATTTCCCTTATTTTCCCCTCTCAAGTAGTGGGAATTTAGAAATTCCATCCACATTCTATTTATGTTGGATAAGAAAAAAGTTACATCTAAATTATGACTTCGCACACAAAATTAAGATTTAGGTGAGGAGGATTTACAATTAAAAGATATATATATATATATATATATATATATATATATATATATATATGCAGCTTACAAAATTGATACTCGTATTAAGTTAGAAATGTACAACACATAAATAAGCATAATTCATGTTATATTTTCATTTGGTTTTTTTCTTTTTAAACTCCTTATAAAAAATAATAAATAAATAAATAAAGAAGAAGAAGAACCATCACTTGTCTTATTAGGACAAATCTTATAAATGCATCATTTTCATTAATGGAAGCATCCTTTTATATTTTACTCTTTATTTTTCCACCCACTAACCCACTTTGCTATTATTTTATCATCATTTATAGAAAGACTTGAACTCAAGACCAACAAGTACTCCCTCCGTCCCCAATAGTTTGACCCTTTGACCTAATTTTAGTCCCAAAATGATCGACCTATTTGCATTAAAACATCCACTAATTTACAACAATATTTGTGCAAATTAGCTTCCCCATATAAAATTTTGTTTTTTAATGTATTTTTTTTAATATTTTCCATCTCTACTTTTTTACAAACCATATGTAAGGGCCTGTTCTCATTGACTGAATTGAACTGAACTAAACTGAGATGAACTGAACTGAACTGAAATGAATATTTTATAAGAGAAGGAAATTAGGAGCTGAACTGAAATGAACTAAGCTGAACTGAACTAAGCTGAATTTCAACGTATGAGAACAGGCCCTAAATTTATCTTTCCAAATACTTTTACTTTTTTATTTATTTATTTATTTAACTTTCTTAGTACTAAATTACAAGTCTTTTCACCTTTGCTATCTATTTATTGCAGTTCATTATCCAACAATTATAATTGACTTGGATAAAATGACGATGAAAAATAATTATTTTAATAGTTAATAGTTGTTGAATATCTTTAAATCATACCATACAAAAGATTGAATATGGTTTCTCTAATACAAATAATCTTTTTTCAAATTATGAAAATTTCAAGATACTTATCAAACCACTAAAAAAAAGTCCAACTCGATTATCAAAATAAACAAGTACTCCATCCGTTCCTTAATACAAAGTCTCTTTCTGACTAATTTCTAGTTATCTACTCTGTAATACAAAGCCTCTTTCTGACTAGTTTCTATTACAAATTAATAACTCGGGGCATTGCTTGAACCACACACTAGTTTCTAGTTATCTACTCGGTAATGTCTGCTAAAGGCTACACATACAATTGTTGTATGTGGTCTCTACATACAACTCTAATTTATCATGTTTTGATTGGCTAGAATAATGGGCCCAAGTTCCATTATATTCAATTTATATTTGACTTCTAATTTTCTTGGACAACACATAATGGTTGTATGTTGTATGTAGGGACAACATACAATGTATTGTAATGTGTATTATGGAATTTTGCTCCGTATTCCGCAAAATATAGTGATGCACTTAAATGAATACGATTTCGCAAATTAACATGGCATTGTTTATGAGAGTAAAAAAAAAAAAACAAAAAGATTTATGAGAGTTTCTGTGCATAGTATAATTATACATAAACTAATACGAGTAATAAATTAATAACAAAACAAACGTTACAAAACCACCTCTTGAAGGATATTTGACATTCGTCACAGAAGAGAAGGTGGAATTTTTGGAAGACGAGGAGAGAGAAAAAGAGGAACTTCAAAGAAAATCACTCTCTTTCTTTGATTCCTTCTCTTCTTCCTCTCCTTCTCCTTCTGAAACCCATCAATTCCATTGATTCTCTTCTTCCATTTTCAATCTTATCCTTTTTATTCAAAATTCCCATCTTTTTCCCTTTATTTCCTTGTCAAATTCCCTCTTTTTCTTCAAACAATTGCATTAGATCTCAATCTAACAAACACCCAAATAAAGTCAAGTCAATTGAGAGAGACTGAAGTTGTTCATTCATTCTTTCACTAAAAAAAACCCATTAATGGCATCTTCTTCCTCTTCATCTCAGCTTCGCCTCATGTCCGATCTCAAATCCATCATCAATGAACCTCCTGAAGTAATTGATTCACTTAATTTCAATCAAAAAATCAATTAGTCAATCAAATCTTAAGAATTAAATTAATGGGGTTGATTTTAAATTGATTTTACAGGGTTGTAGTGCAAGTCCTATGTCAGATGATAATCTGTTTGTTTGGAGTGCCACCATTTTTGGGCCTGATGAAACTCCATGGGAAGGTATTTACATCTTCATTTTTGTTTTTATATACAGTATCTAGATTCGAACCCCAGATCTGGGTTTACATTTTTGTTAATTTTCTGATTGATTTTGGAAATTTTCTGGTTTTTTTTGGTTGATCTTTGTTATACCAAGTATAATTTTCAGGTGGAGTTTTTAGTTTAAGGTTGACATTTACTGATAATTACCCAGAAAAGCCTCCTCGAGTTCGTTTTACTTCTGATATATTTCATCCTAATGGTAATAATTCACTTCCCTCTGAATTTCTTATTACTGGTTTGTAATTTGCAGGTTAATTTTGGCTATTGCATTATGACTTGACTAACTTATAACATTTCCTTCATCCCTGATATAAAAAGTTTTCTTCATATTAAGGATTAGGTTCGTCTTAATTATCAATGGACTATTACTTGTACGTTTTAGATGTTTCTCTAATACCGAGTACGATTATCACCTCTATATAAAGTGGTATATAGGAATAAGTGAATGCTGTTCTTGTCTCTATTACTCTTCCATAAAACTTTGATGATGAAAAATATGGGTTGTGCAAATGTGCATTGATGATGAAAAAAGCAAGTGTAATGGACTTAACAAGAAAAGTGAGGGAATAGAAGTTTAAGCTGGTAATTGTGCTAACTAATATCTGAAAATGATAAGCATAGCTGAAAATTATTTCTAATCTGGTCATGGCAACAAAATTCAGCTAATATCATTTTACCTGAAGTATTGCTGCTGGTTTCGTTATGTAGTGACGGATCATTCTTACAAGCAATGGGATTATATTCGCCTATTCGGGTTCTCAATGCTTGTTTGTCAATTAAGTCTTTAGAGTTTAGACCTCAGCTCTTCATGCTATGCACTGCTATAGGCTCTTTTTGTTATCTGGGGGTTGATTTTTCATTGTAGCTATATTTGCAAGTCATGTACATTGCTATGGGTGTATGAAGTAATTGTGATTTTTATCTTATAAAATCGCTTGTTGACGGACTTCTTTACTTAATAACCAACTGATTGTGCTGAAACTTTTTGCAATATTACTTTTTGGAATGCAGTTTATCATGACGGTACTTTGTGCATGGATATCATCCAAGAAGCTTGGTCACCCTGCCATAATGTAGCTACAATCTTAACATCTATCCAGGTACACTTGCTATTGTCTTGATTTTTTCTTAGTTCTGCTTCTGTATTTTGCTGTTTATTGCTTGGAGAACGATGTAAATGTAATGTTGAAAATTTAATTACGTAGTATAAAATTGGCAATTTATACCTATTGTGTTCTCTACAGTCCCTTCTAACTGACCCCAATCCTTCAAGTCCTGCAAATCCTGAGGCTGCTCAACTCTTCCAGCACGACAGCCAGGCTTATAACAAGTTTGTAACCTCGATCATATTCCCTTCTCTCTCACTTGAAATCCCTCTTTGACGACAGTTATTAGCTGAATTTACCTGGTTTAGTCAACTAACTCTAGATTATGGGATTTTAAACAGGAGGGTTCGTAGATGTGCTCGTAAATCCACTGAGTTTTCCTGAGGCAAAGGATATTTGTTAAACTACATTGTCTTTGACGGAATCTTGACTAAAAGCTCTGTGACTGTCGTATCATGTGTATCTCAACGACATGCCTTGACATGTTTGTTCCTGTCCAAGTTTCTGGAATAGTTGCACAATCCTGTCAATAACACACCATAATCTATTTTTCTTGCTTGTATCATCTGTTCAATTCATTTCAAAGATGCTAGTTGTAAAACAAGCATACTACTGTACTGTATGTTGGTTATACTGAAATAGTGAAAATTCAACAGAAATTCAGAACTCATATTTGCAGTCCCTTTAAATATTATGGGTGGAAGGGTGTGTTTTTATTTTGGAGTTCTTATTCAATTGAATTTCAGCGGGTAAGCAGGACTGAGCACAATCAACCAGGCCAAAACTTCAGGTTTCAAACCTTAAGAAACAAACAACCTCTGAAATAATGGGTCAATCCAAAGGTTAATTTTTAGTTGGCTCTTTGAGTCAAAATATTAAGAATCACTAATCTATAAACCAATTGTTTTGGAGTTTAGTGTCCATCTAAGAAATTAAAAAATGTCTTAATTTTTTTATGTACTATTATACCAATTCTGAAGGACTAAAGGAGTAATTATTTATACTAAGGGCATGTTCCGATTGACTGAACACAGCTGAACTGAACTGAACTGAACTTATTAATTAGTGATTTTTAACTACGGATTAGTGATCTTTGATTATTTATTGATTATTTATTACTATACATATGTGTATATACAAATGTACATATTATTATTATTATTATTAATATTATTATTATTATTAATTATTGATGATTATTATTTTTATTATTTATTGATTATTATTATTATTATTATTGTTATTATTATTATTATTATTATTATTATTTATTGGTGATTATTATTATTATTTATTGATTATTATTATTAGTATTATTATTTCAATTATTATTGTTATTATTATTATTATTATTATTATTTATTGATGATTATTATTATTATTTATTACTTATTGATTATTATTATTATTATTATTGTTGTTGTTGTTGTTATTATTATTATTATTATTATTATTATTATTTATTGATGATTATTATTATTATTATTATTATTATTATTTATTACTTATTGATTATTATTATTATTATTATTATTATTATTATTATTATTATTATTATTATTATTGTTGTTGTTGTTGTTGTTGTTGTTAATATTATTATTATTATTATTATTATTGTTGTTGTTGTTGTTGTTGTTGTCGTCGTCGTCGTTGTAATAAGAGCTTAAAAGAATGAAATTTGGCTTTATATCATTAGCAATATCATTAGACGTAAATTAAGAGTTGAACTGAACTGAACTGAAGTGAACTGAACTGAATTGAATTGAATTTCAACGGAAGAGAACAGGCCCTAATACATGTTTTGTAATTTGAAACACACATCATGTGCATTAAGATTTGATAAATTGAAATACTAAACCTTGAGTCTTGAAACTATTTTCCCTCGTAATTACCCTTTGTCTACTCTCACTTTTTTTTTTCCTTTTTTTCATAACATTTATTATTATTATATATTTCTGTTAATATTCTCTCATTTTAGCATACCTAATATTTACTTTTTTTTTTTTTTTTTTTTTTGTTGTTGTTGTTGTTGTTGTTGTAATTTATGCTCTCATCCTGTGGAATCAAACTGTTGCTGAAAGATATGTGTGATGAAAATCAAGATGTGCATAAACAAGTGTATTGTTTTCATGTATACCAACAACTAACAAGCTTAGCTTGGTATAAAACATTACAATTTTACTAGTGATAATGAGAACCAAACAATAGAATACCTAAAATGGCATTTGTTACATGCAAGTATTGTGTACATATGTGATCAGTTAAGAACTTATTTAAACATGAATTGTTAGTTGGTTACACTATTAGTAGCAAGCCGCTATTTGTAGCTGTTCCTCTTTGATCAGATCCATGTTTCTTCAAGTAAGGTTCAGAATTGGTGGAATACTTTGCTCATCCCTGAAGAAATTTAGAGGATCTACCTTAAGTTTCACCTTCAATAGCCTTTGAAAGTTGCCTCCATGGTACTTGTTTCCGAATTCAGCTCTAGTTTTCGCAAACCTACCAGTATTAGTTCCTAAATCGAGATCTCTATAGTTGTAGAATGCCTCTTTAGGAGAATTCGAAACATAAGGAGTCATGAACTTATACAACCTTCTTGATAATTCTATGTGGTGTTCCTCTGCTTCTTTCCCTTCTTCGTACCATTTAAAGTCATACTCGATTTTGAATAAGTTCCCTGCTCTATGATAAAACGCGATTTCATTAGCTGGGATCTCTCTCATTCTCCCACCATAAGGGTTCCATTCCATTACCAGTCCATCCATGTCTAGCACTTCTTTCCACATAAGCTGTAACCTTTCTTCCGGTATTGGTTTCGTGACATAGTCTGATTTCACTTTCCTAGATAGCCTTTCATATTCCCTACTAAGAAGGATTTCAGTGGAGGTTCCACTTGGAATGTCATCCCAAAAAAGAGTAGAGTTAATCCATGGCATTTCCTGGCAATACTTCGCGGATATTCCTAGCTCAGGAAAGCTCTTTGCTAACAGGTCTTGAAGTTCCTTGGATTCTCCAAGAAACAGGGCAATGAATGTAAATGCCAATCTGTTTTTTGAGTCTTCTTTTTGATCCTTGATCACGGACACTCGAGCTCTTAAGAAGAGATCTTTGGGTAGATTTGGTGCCACCTCTTGCCACCGGTACATAGTTCTTGAGGCGCCTTGGTCAAGAGACCGTGCCACTTGAAAGACAGTCACAACAGGAGGAACGAACAAGTTGTACTTTGAATGCAAGGATTACCCCAAATGAAGCTGCACCGCCTCCTCGAAGAGCCCAAAACATATCTTCCCCCATAGCCTTTCTATCAAGAACCCTGCCATTGGCATCCACAACTGTTGCATCAATTATGTGGTCAGTTGAGAGTATATTTCCTCATCAAGTTTCCGTACCCACCACCAGACAAGTGCCCTGCGACCCTTTGGTGTGACAATAAAGGATGGCTTTCGTGTTTCAGGTTTCAGGAACCTGATGTTTCGAGCATATGCCTGAAGCATGGATGTAAATGAGGAGTTGTGTTGGCTGTATGTAACTTCTGATGTAGGATACTGAGGATTAGAATGGAGGTCAAGACACTCGGTAAAAGGGGCTTCATTACCTAATGCACCAAATGATGAAGTTGGTAACAACAACAATAAGAATGCTGATTGCACCAGGAAAAACATCAGTCTAGCAATTCTAGCAGCTTGAAAGAGGCTGAAGTTGTTATTCATTGTTAGTTAATTACAGGTTTACTTCAAATATTATCATCTTGCTGGCTTTTTATACTGCTTATTGGGGATCATTCCAACATTTTTTTGTGGTTGATTAATCTTGTTATTAACATGTAATGGTCAGAATGCGTAGTTAAACCAAAAACGTATAACTGATTTGTTTTACATGTGTTATGTGATTTATATTACTTGCATTAGCAACTACTATATTAGTGACTATTTAAGATCGATCACAAGGAAATTTTATGGCAGCTAGAGTAAGACAGAACAACCTAAAATTTGTTGGTATTGAACGAAGGTTGGTAACCTAATTAAACTGCTAGCTTAGATTAGTCCCTTCCAAACTTAAATTTAACTTTACTTGAGTTCACCCTCTATAATCTTGGCCACAAGTATTTAAAATTCATCGTATTAATAGTCATAACACATTAATTAACATACACTGCACACGCGAGCATGTGAGGTACAAGTACCTAAAAAGGACATAGACTAAATCCGGTTTGAGTATTACATGCTAACATTTTTTAAAATCTGTCATCATCTACGGTACATCACTCATTAGTGTCATGATTTGAGAACCGGCCATAATATATTTGCATGTAAAAATAAGGCCAAAGGGAAGAAAACACATCCTTTTGTCACAAAATTAAGCAAGACACCCCCAAATTACCATCACAAATAATACTATGCTATGTTTATTTCATCTAAAAAAATAAAATAAAAATCACACAACACTTGCCATTAAAAAAAAAAAAAAAAAAAAAAACCAATCCCTACCAATTCCCGGGCAATTTTTGACACAAAATAAAATTACTTTTTGATAAGCCCAAATTATACAAAGAAAGAAAAAAAAAATATGAGAAATGATGTGATACATTCAGAAACTCATTTTCTAAATTATTTTGATGTTACTATTTTTTTTTAATTTATTTCTAAAAAAGGCATTATAGCTCGAGTACAAAAATCATCATGTTGTTTAATGTTTGTGCAATATGCAATATATTATAATAGAATGGTTTGGAATTACAGATTATGTCTTTAATTGATGTATGTCTTCAACTTCATTTTATAACTAACCATGATTTGCTAGATAATCAACTGTTTTTTTTTAGTATTGGATCATCGAAGGTGAAGAGGTTGCATCAAACTAATTAAGCATGTTGAAAGCATGCATTTTTTCTCGTAGAGTTTGAATACAATGAGGCAGAAAATCCCTTGTGGAGTTGTGGTATAGTAGAAAGTTCGTGCCAAGAAGGAACAACGTGTCTTCTTATTATTCATCTAATAAATTTATGCCTTATATTACGTATATTAATTTATTGCATGTATTGAAATGTATTCACAAAATAGGGACAAAATGTAGGGATGGAAGTAGAGCTATCAATTCGGGTAAACGTGTTGGGTTTGGTTCGGGTCAACTCGGGTCGGGTCAATTCATATTAATTTCATAACCTATGTGATTTGGGTTGGGTCATGCTTGAGTCGGGTCACGTCGGGTCATATTTCTTATCAGGTTTGGGTCGGTTAATAACAGGTCGGGTGAACAATAAGTCGGGTTTAATTCGAGTTTTCACGGGTTAAAATGGGTTAGGGTAATTCTCGGGTTCGGTTCAAGTCAATAATTTGTGGGTTAGAATCAGGTCGGGTCATTCTCGGGTTTGAGCCGGGTTTGGTTCAAGTCAATAATTTGCGAATTATATTCAGGGGTCATTTTCAAGTCGGGTCATTTTCAAGTTGGGTCATTCTCGAGTTCAAGTCGGGTTCGGTTCAAGTCAATAATTTGCAGGTTAAAATTAGGTTGGGTCATTTCCAAGTCAGGTCATTCTCGGATTCAAGTCGGGTTATGTTCAAGTCAATAATTTGCAGGTTACAATCAGGTCGGACATTTCCAAGTCAGGTCATATTCAGGTTCAACTAACTATAAATAGATAATTATCATTTTTATCAAGCTAATTATTTCCTTTGACTATGATATATTG